CCCCAAAACCCCAAAACCCCAAAACCCCAAAACCCCAACTGATAAATTTGTTATTGAACTACTTTTAGATTAAAATATTTGTTAGATTATTATAAAAATAAATTTGCAAAATGTCGTCTATTAACTCTCTACCAAGCTCAAAATATAAGCTAAGGGTCTCACCAGGCTCTCTTGCAGAAAGGAAGCCAGTTCCTTCAGATGTTCCTACAGAGATTGAAACTTTTACTAGCTGTAAATCTCACAAATAATTACATAGTAAACCGTATGGCCAAGAATGAAGACCAAAAGAAATATAGAAGGAAAATTAAAAGCTCAGCTCAATATCTCAAGGTAATTCCTTAAAGAGGGTGCTCATCTTTGTTCATATCTGTTTTGGTCATTATAACTGAGCTGGTTTCTTCCTCTCAGCAATTTCTGGTAGCTCTCAACAGCATCAGTTGGCTTGAACTAATGCATGGTGACTAATATTAATCACGCTTTATAGCAAAGCCAAGGAGGCGAACATAGCAATAGGGCCAACTAACGACAGGTGAGTACTTCTTTAATCAGTAGCTATGATGGTAAGAGAGTAGCTCAGAAAAAGTACTCTAAGTACAAGAAGAAAGCAGGATTGATAGTTAGCTCACCTGTTAAAACCAGCAAGGACCCCAAGTGCCTTAAAAACTTCAGCTCCGGTTCAAAACTGAAGGTTGGTAGGAACAGCAAGTTTCTGAATACAGATCTTGAAGTTCTTCGGTCTTCAACGAAAAGGAAGGATAAATTTACTTCTCCCACCTATGAGTTGGTGAAAACCAAACTCAAAGAGGAGAAGCTTATGTATTTCTTTGCTCATATTTTAGAAGGAAGAAAAGCTACCTGAAGGATACCAATTGTACAACTGAGGAGACTAATAACTCAGATCCTGCAAAGTTGAGTATGAGAGGCTCCCATGGAACTTTGAGGACCACTAAATTAAAAATGAAGCAGACACTTTGTCAGTCAATTCAGAAGAAAAGAAGAGTTATGCAGGTCAAGACACTCAGAAAGTCTCTTTCACCTCACAATTTGTTAAACAAGCATATTAACATCAGTGAGAATTTGGGATTTGGAGTTTCCCGAAAAATGATTTCTCTGATTGATGATGACGATAAATCATTTGTGACTGTTGATAATACACATTCGGTGAATAAACCTAAAGCTATTCAACTAATTAATGATGCAACCAAGAGGCTCCCAACCTCTAGGGGGAAGTCCAACACGTTGAAGCTGATCGATCCAGTGAAGAATACAGTCAAAGAAGAAGTCGGGGAAGAAAATTATGAAGAATCTCCTTGAAAATAGGATTAATCTTCCTCAAACAAGGTCTCTAAGAACTTCAGCAGAGAAGTATAATAACCCTATCAAGAACTTCACTATTGTCCCAAGGTTAATATCCGGGACACTTGAGGTACCAGGAATCAGTCTGATGAACGACGAATTTGAGTTTACAGACATTAGAGACGCTCAGGAACAAGATGATGAGGATTACCAGCTGTTCACTTGGTCTCATGAATTTGACTCGATTGTTGAAGAAACCCATCCAGAAATAAACCAAGCATGTCCCTAAGATGTCGGATATTAAGAGAGTGTCTTTGGCAAGAAGTAGTGTCACAGACGCTTTTACTAATTACAAACTTCTGTCTAAATACATGGAGCATAAATCTGAAATGATTCGTGAAATGAACTGCAAAATGAGGAATCCTGAGGAACCAACCAGCCCTTGTGAAAAATTAAAGAGAAGGTCTACGTCTCATGTAAGGAGCAAGCTTAATAGTAGAGCGCTAGATACAGAAGGTAAGTTAGCTAGCTCAGACAATTTTAGGCAGAAACGAGTTCAAAAATCTTTATCCATCGTACCAGAAGAGGGTAAATAACTGACTGAACTTTTAGAATATTAGAAAGCAAGCGTCAGGGGATATAATTTCTGAGGATTACACTCAGACTTTTGTTGACTATGATACTCATCAACGGAAACATTCTTATACAACAAGAATCATGAATAAAACTAGAAAACAGAATCCTTGAAACTCCCTGATTGGCTATATAGACTATTTAGGCATCTTTAGATGCGATGTTGACCCAGAAAGGAAAAATGGATACATTAAAGAAGAAATTGAGTCAGATGGGCATCTCTTGCCTATGCTTTTTAGTAGAGATGAGGTTTCTGAGTGGAGAAAAGACATAGCTTTTGCTTGGGAGATATTGAAAGGAGTATATCAAAGTCTGAAATGGTGCAAAAATTATGAAGAAGAGGTAAGATCAGTAGTGTCATTTTGGAAATAGGTTATTAAAAAATCTAGTCTGAAACTGTGCAAGTATAGTGATAAGAGAGCATTAAATCGGGTCCAAATGCTAATTCTTCCTTTCCCAGAAAAGGAATTTTCTGATTTACATCATTCAATTCATCACATAGAAATTACATCTCTGAACAATCCAATAAATATCAAAAGCCCAAGTTAATCCCAAACCCATTCTAAATAAAATCTCTAAAAATCGCTTCAAACTAACCTTTTTCTAAAATTCCAAAAACCCTAACAAACTCCTCATTGCTCCCTTTTAATATTCAATCTTTAACACCCCCTATGGGGTTTTGGGGTTTTGGGGTTTTGGGGTTTTGGGGTTTTGGGG